CAGAAACGAATCAGTGAAACCCAATCTGAAAATTCTTTATAAACAGTCTAAGGTTTTTTTTCATAATAAACACATTAGATCTCTGGATTGAGTACGAAGATGTGTTTTGCTTATTTTTTACTTCAGTGATCTTTAAACAAATGCATGTGATAATCAAATATAAACGAAGTCAGTAAATGTACATTATTGAGTTTGTTTATTCAGATGTTCGCGCAAATCTACACGAAGGCAATCTGCACATATCCGTCCCTAATTTTGAAATGAAAGTTAGAAGAAAGGCAACTATTCAACAGCACCTTGGGCTACTCTTGTCTAACCTAATAGTGGAATTTCAACATATCTTTTATGGAGCACAGCATAGTGCGATTTTATGGCAATGAGTTGCGAATCACGAATCCTTATATTCATAGTCTGGGTATGCTAACGAATAAGCCACTCTTGGCACATTTAATATGGACTTAAAAACAGAATTAATATATTAAAATAACATGTTTTAATAATTATTGAAAAAGAAAACTCTTTGGTAAAACGATTGAAAATAAAAAAGTGAAATCAACTATAGCTTTTTTAAGTATTTTAAAAATGCTCATTTAAGGTCTTCCTTGTTGAAAGATGCATGCAATAACATCATGACCTGTATTATTTTCCGTTTTATTTCAAATAATTTCTTGCTTGAGAGAATTTTTGGAGAAAGGAGAGCGTACTTGAAAGGCATTGCAAATTCATTGCATCTGACTAGAAGTTTTTTGGACGACATTTCGAACTGCAAGCACACATTTTTCATCTGCTTGAGAGTTAAAAGAACGTAGCCAAAGAAAGTGTGTTTTAAGGTCTCTTTATAAAGTTTAATATTCAATAGTAATACAATAAAAATTCGACTAGTTTCTAGGAGGATTATAGCGAGTTGGTTTAAGGTTTGTTTTCGAACTTTCACACAAAGGCACACAAAGAGCTGCCTACCATAGCCATCCCTAATTCTGAATTAATAAAAGCAAGACAGCTAGCCAAGAGCATCCGCCGCCAAGCCATGGGCTTCTCTTATATAATCAACCAGTTGGATTTGACCATCACTCTTATAGCACACCCATGAACCCAAAATGTGGAGTACATATTTGCAGTAACGGAATGTGAACCAAATTTTAACCCAGTCTTATTTGAAAATAAGTGAGAACAACAGGTTTTTATTATAAAAATATTTCCTTATTTACGTTTTTATGTCACACTATTGTAAACTCTCGAACTATAACATCATACAATATAACTCATATTTTAGCATGCATAATTGGCAAAACACTGTATACCCTAAAATGGTTCTAGGTTTTAAGCAACTCGAAATGTCATATGCACACATATCAGTGAATATTAGATTATTTTCAATACAGTAATGTATTTGTTGAAAGACTAAGACACGTAGGATTTTTGACAATACCTCTTATCTCAAACCTAAAAGAGTTGAAAGGTGTTTGATAACTACTATATATATACATTACATCGAAAAGACACATACATTAATTACGTGATCTGAGTATAAGAATAACATATATTTTTTTATTTCAAGACCAGAAGCTTACGAATATTGAAGTGTTATGGTTATGTAATGCTAGTAAATTACCATAACCACAAGTGCATCTCATTTGTCCCCCAGTGGCTCTGAGATCTTAGAACGCTAAAAATCGGGTTTTGATACCCGTGGAGGGCACAGCACAGATAACCCATTGTGTAGTTTTGTGCTTAAAAACAAAACCTCTCATTTTACTTCAACATGTCATTTAGTTTAGAATAAGTATTTTAGTATAATTTTTGTGTATCGCTTTATACTGCTATAAGTATTGAAGATATCAATTAATTTCAGTTTTTCATTCTTAGCATATTTCACGAGGGCACTTTGGCTTCTTAACTCTACTCACTTATTCGTCTTTAGTCTACCTGCTATTTCCAGGTAATCAAAACACGTTTCCGTCAAGTGGATATGTAATAATATAATGGTTAATCTGGAATCCCTTCGAATGTCTAAGACACTTAATAGTGGGTGTTCTTATACCAGGAACGTCAATATCCAAGATCGTATCTTTTACAGGTTGTAAAACGACATTTGTCATCAGAGTCTATAAACAGTAGTAACTGATAGAAAACACGTCTCTCACTGAGAAACACTACGATCGTAAAGTATAACAGACAGCATATTGTATTCTACTTTAATGATATCATGTAATGTACTTAATAAAAAACTTTCATTTTACAATCAATGCGTGTGATTTAGTCTGATGAGCCACATTTCATCTTCTACACTGATGATAAAGATGAATAAAACTACAAGAGGTACTTGATACTGCTTATAATGTTTTGACAACGCGAGCTACTAAAGACAATATAATGGTGTTGGAAAAGCTCTGATGAAAATATATTGGTCTTTTGACTACTTTATGGGGCAAATAACATCAAAGTTTACTTAGAAGTTGTTGCCTGCCATGGCTACTCACATAATGCTGCATTTCTATCTTAAGGCCTCTTCAGAGATGATAATGCAATCATCCACCGCACTCATATTTTTCAAAATTGATCCGAAGGCCATGACAATGACCTTTGTCATCATCCTTGGCCAATACAACTAGTTGATCTCAGTTTTATCAAGATGAGCTTGAATGTTACATCCGTAATTCTCTGCCAATATCTGGGAACCAAACATACATGGAATAATTGAATAAATTATGTAAATTAGCTACAAATTCCCTTCTAATATCAGAATGATTCTAGAACTATAGTCACACGAGGCAGGCAATTATTCCATGTATAAAAGCAAGTCGCGCTGAACAGACTTGCAAAATGCCTTCAAAACTTGATTGATGACTGGAGTGAAATCTTTTTTTTTTTAAAAAAACTAGAAACATTAATACAACGAAACTGTTAAATGATGAAGAGCCAAAGACGAACATTTCAAGAAAACGAAGTTTTTACATGACAGGACACTTATAATAGCAACAGGCCCCGAAACCACACCCAAAGTAATTAGTACAAACACCCTTATTCACAAAATGAAGGGTATGATTATGAAAGAGAATCCTCTGGCTCAAACATATATATATATATATATCATGGAAAGCGGATGTATCTTCTAGTATCGTTAATATGACAATATACAACGATTTGAAGATGACGATGGCTTTTGCAAGCCGAAAGCACATGGAATTATGGCCACACCTTGAAACAAGCGGCTATTTTCATGAGAAATAACACATGTCTGTCAAATCTCCTGATACATCCCCAATGGATGTTTGTGCTTATAATCTGCTTAACTTTGTGTTTGGACGTCGTAGACCTAGGAAATTAGCTGGTTTAAGAAAAGCTGCGGAAGAGAACGAGAAAAAACACTGACGTTTCTGTTCTTCGAAGAAAGCTGAAATTATATAAATACGCCGCATCAATTCCATTGTTAGGAAGCAACGGAGGCAGATAGAGCATTATCACCGGACAAAATACGGTCTTCAGTACTAGCATGCCGGATTTAATTTTCGTTTCTTAAAGGTGATAATGAAAAGGTGTGGTAGATCATACTCCCCGGACTGTGGGCTACATTTGAGCCGTCGGTAGATTGTATAGACTATACCATGTCAATTCCAGACCGAACTAGTGGCTAATGATCGAAAAATAAACTCGTCAGTCAACGTATAAAAAACGACAAGGTAAAACCTACTACAAACGCAGCTCTTCTTTGTTCCTTGTGATAAAAAATAAAATATATCTGAAGTCTATATTCTAGATCATTAGACAAACTAAAGAGTATATAAAGAATCACGTTTAAACACTACCTACATCTGATATGCTTTAATCACTCCTTGATGGGCACTTACAAAGTACACTGTTAATGTTAGAATGTTGAAATGTTTTATTTGTAAAACCAACAGATGGTCTTATAAAGGACACTGTTGATGTAAAATGTTATCCTATTTAATTTTAAACAAACGTTTTTAATTATGATTACTATACATTAATTAAGATAATTATTTGGTTTTATAGAATTGTTTGCATCACGTTTTTTTGTGGTTTAATTTGTAAACTTCTCAATTCCTATCAAGCTAGACAATACCCATTCTGTTATCGTATTTAATTATTCAGTATTTATTTTTCACTGACGGTTTCGTAAGACGGACTTGTTTTCTTACTAAATGCAAAAATTTCATGTTCTATCGATAATTATGGATTTCTGAAAAGAGCCAAAGCAATCATACTTACTTGAATTCTAACGTTATTAAACTACTCATTATCCTACTTACTTGAACTCTGACGTTATCAAACTACTCATTATCCTACTTACCTCAATTCTGACGTTATCAAACTACTCATTATCCTACTTACCTCAACTCTGACGTTATCAAACTACTCATTATCCTACTTACCTCAATTCTGACGTTATCAAACTACTCATTATCTTACTTACCTTAACTCTGACTGAGTAGTTTGATAACTTATCCTACTTACCTCAACTCTGACGTTATCAAACTACTCATTATCCTACTTACCTCAACTCTGACGTTATCAAACTACTCATTATCCTACTTACCTCAACTCTGACGTTATCAAACTACTCATTAACGCCTAAACAAATGGAATGTTCAAATAAATATTCTAGCAATTGTTCAAAGTTGAAATAATAGTTTTTAGAATGTAACAAGTTTTTAATACTCGGGCTAACACTTAATAACACTGAAAAATAGAGTTGAAATAGTTAGAACATAAATCAATGAATAACCAATAAAATATTAGCTTGGAACATTAACCGATTCAATTGTTAATCATGTTTAATCTTGTTAGAATCCTATTCACTTCACCTTATATAAATATGTATAAACTTGTTTTTAGAACAAGTAACTTTCATGCAGTATTTTGTTTTATCTCTCGTCTCTTTGCAAACTTTTCGTAAACTATGAGATTAATAAGATGGGTCACTCACAGTTTTGGTGTTACAATGACCATCAATCATCAATCACAATACACTGCCTTGCCTTTATTTTGCTGCTTTCCCGCTCTTTTCCTCCTGAAGATGAGCACGAAGATTGTTGACATTAAAACGAACGTTCCTACAATCCCAAGTAAGATACCAAGAAGAGGTCTTAGTCGGGTAGAGTAAACACCGCCTGGGAGTAAATATTTTTTGGAATGTTATTAAATTACTTTAATGTAACAATTCTTTCATTAAAACGAACATATATAGGCAAACTTAATAAGGCAATACTGCTTTTGATGATCAGAAAATTTCTAGTATAAACAATAATGAGTTGTTCTTTTACCTCGTTCGTCATCGTAATACATGTTTCCGTAAAATATATCGTAGAAGAAACATTAGTCAAATATTCAGAATAATGAAGGTAAACGTGATATAGTCAATAAGGTAAGTTACAATATACCTCATTTAAAAAGCTTAGAAACGACTGAAAACTTACAAAGCAGCTGAAATTATTTACAATTATTAATAAGAACAAAGATTAAACATTGCCACATGAGAAAACCGTGTAATTAGAACTAACAGCACGGAAAAACAAAAAATTTAATATTTTTAGACCTAAGCAACAAAGCTATTGATTGAGGTACTTTCAAAATTAAGGACTTGGTGTAAAAGATGTGTCTCTTAGAAAATATGTTCATATCCAACTTCAGAAACATTACTAGCCTTTATTATTAGGCAAATTGAAGTACCAAATATATACGCTAAGTAACAATTTTTTTGAACTTTGTAACAAATTTTCGAATAGAAAAAAAAATGAAATTTCAAAAAAAGTTGACTAGGAAATATAAAAATCTATAAAATTGTTCCATAAATCTATATGGAGAAGGAAAGATACATTCACCAGATCACAATGGAAAAGGAAAGCTACATTCATCAGATCACAATGGAAAATGAAAGATACATTCATCAGATCACAATGGAAAATGAAAGATACATTCATCAGATCACAATGGAAAATGAAAGATACATTCAGCAGATCACAATGGAAAAGGAAAGATACATTCGTCAGATCACAATGGAAAAGGAAAGATACATTCATCAGATCACAATGGAAAAGGAAAGATACATTCATCACATCACAATGGAAAAGGGAAGATACATTCATCAGATCACAATGGAAAATGAAAGATACAATCATCAGATCACAATGGAAAATGAAAGATACATTCATCAGATCACAATGGAAAAGGAAAGATAAATTCATCACATCACAATGGAAAAGAAAAGATACATTCATCAGATCACAATGGAAAAGGAAAGATACATTCATCAGATCACAATGGAAAAGGAAAGATACATTCAATAGCACTGATTCCCCCAAAAATGGTAAGTGTACATGTTAACAGCTAATGCGTAATTTGGAACGGACTTCACTTAACATATTTTTTTCCATGTCTTTTATGTTTTATCTCAACATTAAAAAATACGTATTACAATTCAACTAGTTTTATAAAGTAAACTCAAATCAAATACAAACACGATACTAGTGTTCAAATGTGCTACCTTACAAAATGAAAACGAACACTGAAACATTTTTGTCGAAATATTCTATTATGATTTAGAGAAAAATTGATAAATAAAATGTAACATTAATTATTTAGCTCTATCATGAATAATATATATATATATACTAAACAGGAAAATAATACAACTTCTTGCGTAAGTGAAAAATACAAATTATTGAATCTATTTTACTAGTTAAAATCTGACACTGTTTATTTACAATGCAAGATGAATTTTTTATGGTTAATGGCACAGTAAAATACTTTCAGGGAAAACAAAACAACACAGCGAAGTACAATAAAACGAAGCATAATTTAAAGTGTGCTATTGAATTCGAAAAGTAATGAGAACCATGCATATAAAGATTTCGCTGTTGCGTCCCATCAATAAAATACGCATAATAAGTGAAATAAAAACGAACATAATTATTAATCAAAGGAGACACTTGCCAACAAATGACTTTTAGAATTCAGGCTTCACAAAAAGAATTGAATAATTGTAATAAATGAAGTATTTATTCCTCAATTCTGTAATTTTTGAAGTTTCATCAAGTTCTGACGGTTTCAAGTATTAATGATATTCTACAAAAAGTAATAAGATGAACAGAGACAGAGAAGTGATTTCCAAAAAGAAATTCTTGGTTTAAAAAGTGCATCGTAGCTGACATTAATACATAACTCGAGATTGCGTGGTATGTGTGTTGTAAAAGACAAATAAATGTAAGCCAAAAGTTAAGTTATCATTCTGAGTTTAATTCTTATTGAATACACTGTAAAAGTAGTTAATCTATTGTTTGTTTTTGAATTTCGCGCA